CTCATATAACTAAAATTCTATTATAGTGAAATAGGATTAGTTAATCGTTGTTCACAAGGTAAATCATAGTAATTGTAAGTAATCCTGAAGTGTATAAAAGCGTTCACTACCACATGAGCATCCATAACCTCACAGGTTAGCAGTGTAAATATACGATTTGTCAGTCTGCAAACCTATAATCTAAAAGTTAGCGTTCCATGGTCAGACATCAAACCCGAATAAATAGTCAGTGAGATTAATGTATAGGATGATAAAGCATCTGAAAAAGATCATCCACAAATAAAATTATTGTAATAGACTTCTTAGGGATTCCGGTAATAATTCTCATTAATCTTATCCACTGGGAATCGCTTTTGATAATATCTAGAATAACAACGAGGATATTAACATTAAACATTCTAGAATAGATAATGCCAAATTATCAAAATCAATGAAAATATTCATGTAAAATTGGACATTTTGTACTGTGATCTAATTTAAAATAATAATTTTACTACTAATTACTCAACTCAAAATTATTTTACTGTTCACTATAGATTTATGTATGACTTTAAATGACGTTTCTTTTCTTCATTACAACATATTCATTGTGAGTTAGTTTATATCCCGGGTTATATAACCACATACATGTATTGATGAGTACCTGGAGTAATTACAGATTGGGTATGTATATGAAGGAGGATTTCAGATAAAAATTAAATTCTTACATTTACCTGTAGTATCAACTAATCGTTGGAATGAATTTACTGAATATCTTGAAATTTGTAGAGTAGTTGCCGGGTGTACACTGATAAAAAGCTGAATATTTGATAAGTAATTTGAATTAAAAAACACTCTGAAAAGTTATTTACTGCCTAAACTTAGAATATCCTATTTTTATGGCAACTATCATGCTTTATCTATGCAATAGTCGAAATACCTAGCGATAGTTAAAATGACCAATTTATGACGAGGTCGTTAATTTATCAATGCTCTCTGTAGTTGGAATAATTTCCTACATGTATGAAAAATACTTTTGTAACGGCATTTATATATTATTTTTGATAATAATCATTATCTATACATATATAACAACGTTTAATTAACGACCTACCTCTTTCACACTTTTCTTAATGATATCATCAAATTTTGAACACATTGGTGTGGTCAATCCAAGTTTTGCGGTTCCAGATGCCAACAAAACGCCAAAATTTTTTCGAGCAGATGATTCTAATTCTCTTGGTTTTAAGTAAAATATGACGAGAATATGAAAGCCATTTATGAAATTCTCACAAGAGTCTTTATGTGGATCCAAAATAAATTTCAGGTTAACATCATGTTAAAGCATTCTAGGAGTCTTAGTTAATCTGCATAAGTTGATACATAATTAGTAAACTATATAACTTATCTTGAGATTCTTTTACGAGACATCTAAACCATGTCAAATTTCCTGGCCAGGATTTTGATTCCAGGGCATTTGCAAACAAAAAAGGGAGTAAAACAGCTATAAGCATGTGAAATGACTATCGTCAATTGTGATATTTCTCATCAAAAAGCAACGCACTGGCTTTATGTAACGAACCTGCGGCAAAATTGAGAAACTTTCTAACCAGTGATGATTTATTTGCAATTAATATAAGGATTCCTATAGTAAAGCCAAAAGAACTTACTGTCAGTCATCAGAATGCAATTTATTTAGTTCAGTAATTTTCACAAAAATCAACTTTTAAGTTGAATCGATTTTGAGTCAAAAAGTTAACCGTCTGACGGATAATTGATTTAATGTTATTGTTGATATAAGAAGAAACCGAATTAAGAAATCTTCATTTTCAAATAGAATCTCATCATATCTGTGGAATACTAAATGAGTTTCACAGATGAATATGAAATCAACATTAATTAAATATTAGCGATCTGATTAACAATTACAATTGATTAAATAAGTTGAACCCATGGTGTGACTGTATCCACAGAATTTCATCGGTTATCACATTTAAACTGAAGTTTCAGAAACATTGGCTTTCAAGATACTATCTATTTTTTGCCTAAATTACTTTTGCTAAGTAGAAAATAAATTAGTTTGGGTTTATCCTCAGAACATATACAACTAGCACTACAGACAAACCATTTAAGTAGATTATAATAGTATTGTATTAAGAAAATTTCTAAAAATGAAGTGACTCAATAATAATTAACCCAATTAAAGTAGATCATCAAGACTTTTTGCATTAAAGTATTATTAATTCATTTACAATAATCCTCAGAAAAGACTATATATGACAATAAATTTTGTGTAATCAATTCTACCTCATTTTATGTCCATTCCAAATAATTGGATTTTCGAATTCTGATCTAGTCCGTTCGGTGACTGTAAATAATGCTAGCGGCCACAAAAATCTTCTTAGACTATAAGGTATAATTGTTCCTTTCAAAACTGATACAACTTGATGAGTGAAACTTTGTGCTACATTTTCATTTGAATAATTTAAATTGATAAGTTTCACAGAATTTGAATAAGATGATTTACGACACATTTGATCTAATATACTACCAAGACACTCAGTGAAACAACTTGACCCAGTTTCAATTGACGCCATCCATCCTTCTGGTCCTAAATATATTGTGAGTAAATATAAAATAAAATGGATAAGTGTTACATAATATGCTGATAATTATTAGCTAAAATATTGATAAATATTGGTATAATGAGAAAGGTATTATAAATATTTGGAGACTTCATTTAGAAAACACAATGTTTCTACATTGATATTTTTAAAGTTATCCTTTACAAAATAGCGTTTGAAGCGAACGGTGCTAAGTTCGATTCCCGTAGTGAATATCAACTCTGGAATGCAGGTGCATCCAGATGAGGAGTCTCTAATGAGACGAAACGAGCGTTCTGGATTCCACTGCTAGCCACTATCGATATTTGCTTAAAAAGCTTGTGACTTAAGGCTATATCTAGGCAATCTGCACAGGAAGCACATATGCCAACAAGAAACTGATCAATCGCAATCCTAAATAACAATGGAAAGAAACAAGTAAAACAGCATCAAGTGAAGTTAATAACAATAGATGAGCAATGTACTGAAATGGCAAATACATGAATGCATGACACTTTTAAGTTACCGAAGTTGAACATTGCACAAAACATAAGGAAAATTATGAACTTTAGGATTGTTTATCAGTATTAAACCCTATAAAATCATCATCATATTAATGAAAATATGGTTATCACTATGAGGTTGTGGAGATTTTTGATTTTAGAGTCTAGCTGCAATCAATCTACAAAGTTGTGCGACCATTTTTATTGTCTTCGGTGAATAAATGCCTCACAACCGACACGGATTAGCTCTACTAGTCACCACTTTTCACTAGAACTCTTAGAATCCTCTCTCGAATCTTGTCATATGCTCACTAGTTACTAACTTCGAGAGAGGATTCTAGGAGTTTTAGTGAGAAGCTGTGACCAAAAGAGTTCGACCGTTTTCAGTTTGTAAGCACTTGAAGAACAAAATAGATGGATTGTTGTTATTCTGCTGAGATCCATATCTTTGCCATATTTTTGGATTCATAAGTGAGAAAACTTTCACGAAACTGAGTTCATAAGTCTTTACACGGCAAATGAGTCACTCATCGTTCATCTAACAAGCAGATAATAACACTTTTTCAATTAGTTTGCATAAATATCAGTACTGAGCATAAAAGGAATCATCAATGTCTTACTAATTTATTGTCTACGTACAAATGAACGATATCCTCTTGGTGTTTCTTCTATTTATCAGTATCTTTTCATGTCTAAATACTACCATTTAAAATATGTAGGTTAAAACTCCACAGAATTTTAATGTATGTTACAGTTCAGTGTCTGAAGAAACTGAATTATTCCTAAACATAGAAATAGCTTACCACTACAAAACAAGTAGTTTTTGATGATTTAACTGTTGAAAATTATGATTGTTTATCATCTGACAATTAAATTAGTTCATTTTTTTCCTGAAAATTAAAAATACTATGGTATTCTTCTCAATTAAGCATCTTGTTTAAACCATATTCCATATACGTATTTTACCTGTTAAGAAATTATGTCAAGCGTAATGTATGTGTTGAAACCAAATTAACTACAAGAAAGTTATATTTAAGATAAGCATAGTGATACATCATGATTTACACGAGTAAGAGCTATCCTCATTTGGGATTTGAGATTCGAATTGTAGTCAAGAGGAATTACTTGCTATTCTAAGATGGTTTACATCAATCGACAAACTCTCACTTTATTCAAACTAATATTATTGGTAGGCTGCAAATATTTCGTTGTGCAATCTAAGCAATTCACATTTTCTAAAATACGATATCAACTATCAAACCATTAGCTCTAAAATAAGCAGTTGTAGTCTTACAACTGCACTCTCTATGTTCCTTTCAGAAATCAATGTTTCGATATGTACCACCAATTATGGTTAATAATTCAAATGTCCTCTTTCTCTGTTAATCATTTAAAAAAAACTCGTCGAGTAACTATTATATGCAGAATTATATTTACGAATAGTTATGTTTATATTTATGTTTGTAGATACTTACTAAGTAACAAGAATGTAGCATCTCATTTTAGTCATTAAGCTAATCATACACATGTAAATTGATTTATTCTTCAACATTAAGTACTTGTCTGCATTTATTTCTTCTTCTTGGATGTTGTATCTTTTTTTCTTGTCTCCCTCATGTTGATGACTATCTCACACTTTTTCACATGCAAATTATCCTTATTAATAAATATAATACTAAATGAGTGAAATTTACACCATATATGAAAATGATGCTTTTATCAAATTTTTAGATGTTTATCACAAATACACCAATAGGTGTACATACATGTTTGCATACATACATAAAATCACACAAAAAAACGATGATAGAAGTACAAAATGTACGAGAAAACTATTTGTCCAATTCGGTTTGCATATTTATACTTATATAAAGAAACAGACTTGATATATATATATCAAACTTATCCTTATTTATCTGTACCCACGCATTGTATAGATAGATATAGAAGATAAAGTTTATTGGTAGAGCATGTTCATATCATCCAATATATGTATATATATATAATGAGTGATGTAATACTAAACAAATAGTGTGAACTAACAGATATGGACTTAGTCTTTCATTTGACAATCTCTAATAACATTAACATGGATTTAAAAAAAAATCTAATAAGATTCATACAACTATTTTATTAATTAAAGTACTAATTGATACATTTTCATTTACAATAATTCTTGGATTAAAATAAAACAAAAACAAAATCCATTGAAATAATGATCATAATAACGATAGTATTATTTTTATTATTTCATGTAAGTATTCATTCATTACCTATGATGAACAAAACCTTAAATCAACATAATGAAACATTATCCAATCTAAATGATAAACAATTAAATAACAACAATAATAATAATAGAGAAATTATTCCTACTAATAATATCATGAGTGATAATTATAACCAATTATTATTATTATTTAAAGATATTGCTTCAATACAAACATTTAATACAACAAATAACCTTATGAATAATAATAATAATAACAATAATAATAAAGAAAGTAATTATTCATTAAAAAATAATAATTTCAATCAAAAAATCAATAATTCAATTAAATTAAAACAAAATCAATTTATTGACAATTCATGTAATCATAAACAATGTTCTATAACATTTAGAATAAAAGAATTAAATGATAAACTAAACCATTCTAAAGGTAAATTTATTATTAATAAAAATATAAATAATGAAATCTTATTACGTAATCTAATATCTAATGAAATAATTAAAAATCAATTATTCAATAAAAATTTTACACAATTGATTATTGATTTAAATAATAATAATAATAATAATAATAATAATAATAATAATATGAAAGATTTATCTTTATTAAAAATGTTTAATAATCAATCCTTTATACATTTATTACGTAATATAAACAAGGATACAATATTGAATAATTTAATCATAAAGAATATAATAACTAATTTGAATGATAAAGAAAATCGATCAATTGATCATTTAGATGATTATTATATTCAGAAAATTATTAATTTAACAGAAATGAATACTGATCATTCAATAACAAAAGTGTCAAATATGAAAATCAATAAAGAAGAGGAATATGATAATGAAATCGATCAATTAATTGGTGAAGAACAAAGTTTCATTGAAGTACTTGGTAACAATAAGTTAGAGAAAAATTTAATAAAGAAACAAATAAACATAGAAAATAAAAATAAATTATTAACAAATAATAATAGAATATCAATAAGTAAAAAATATAGACGAAAACGTTCAGCAAATAATATTGATTCAGAAGTATTCAACGCATATTCATCAAGTACAAAAAATATAAACAAAGACAACAAGCAAAAAAATAACCAAAAACAAATAAAAATAAACAATAAATACAAAATAAATAGAAGGATTAAAAAATACATTAATACAGATGAAGAAAACCATGACAAAATGAAGAATATCATAAAAGAATATGATAAGGATAATGATTATGAAAAAGACACACCAACAAAAGAAGAAACTAATGAGAATGAAGAAGAAAAATTAGAAGACAGAAAGATTACAGAAAATGAACAAAAAACAGATGAAAATAAAACAAACAAGGAGGACGCGGCAGATGATAAGAAAAAAACGAAACAAATATCAATGAATAACGAAGAAATGACTGAAGACATAGCAAAAACCGCAGATGTGTCAGTGATTCAGGACTCGAGTCCAGAAACTCCAGTATCCAAGGAAGTGACGACCGCCTCTCCAGCTCCAACTGCAGATGTGTCAGTGATTCAGGACTCGAGTCCAGAAACTCCAGTATCCGAGGAAGTGACGACTGTCTCTCCAGCTCCAACTGCTGATGTGTCAGTGATTCAGGACTCGAGTCCAGAAACTCCAGTATCCGAGGAAGTGACGACCGTCTCTCCAGCTCCAACTGCAGATGTGTCAGTGAATCAGGACTCGAGTCCAGAAACTCCAGTATCCGAGGAAGTGACGACCGTCTCTCCAGCTCCAACTGCAGATGTGTCAGTGATTCAGGACTCGAGTCCAGAAACTCCAGTATCCGAGGAAGTGACGACCGTCTCTCCAGCTCCAACTGCAGATGTGTCAGTGATTCAGGACTCGAGTCCAGAAACTCCAGTATCCGAGGAAGTGATGACTGTCTCTCCAGCTCCAACTGCAGATGTGTCAGTGATTCAGGACTCGAGTCCAGAAACTCCAGTATCCGAGGAAGTGACGACCGTCTCTCCAGCTCCAACTGCAGATGTGTCAGTGATTCAGGACTCGAGTCCAGAAACTCCAGTATCCGAGGAAGTGACGACCGTCTCTCCAGCTCCAACTGCAGATGTGTCAGTGATTCAGGACTCGAGTCCAGAAACTCCAGTATCCGAGGAAGTGACGACTGTCTCTCCAGCTCCAACTGCAGATGTGTCAGTGATTCAGGACTCGAGTCCAGAAACTCCAGTATCCGAGGAAGTGACGACCGTCTCTCCAGCTCCAACTGCAGATGTGTCAGTGATTCAGGACTCGAGTCCAGAAACTCCAGTATCCGAGGAAGTGACGACTGTCTCTCCAGCTCCAACTGCAGATGTGTCAGTGATTCAGGACTCGAGTCCAGAAACTCCAGTATCCGAGGAAGTGACGACTGTCTCTCCAGCTCCAACTGCAGATGTGTCAGTGATTCAGGACTCGAGTCCAGAAACTCCAGTATCCGAGGAAGTGACGACTGTCTCTCCAGCTCCAACTGCAGATGTGTCAGTGATTCAGGACTCGAGTCCAGAAACTCCAGTATCCGAGGAAGTGATGACTGTCTCTCCAGCTCCAACTGCAGATGTGTCAGTGAATCAGGACTCGAGTCCAGAAACTCCAGTATCCGAGGAAGTGACGACTGTCTCTCCAGCTCCAACTGCAGATGTGTCAGTGATTCAGGACTCGAGTCCAGAAACTCCAGTATCCGAGGAAGTGACGACTGTCTCTCCAGCTCCAACTGCAGATGTGTCAGTGATTCAGGACTCGAGTCCAGAAACTCCAGTATCCGAGGAAGTGACGACCGTCTCTCCAGCTCCAACTGCAGATGTGTCAGTGATTCAGGACTCGAGTCCAGAAACTCCAGTATCCGAGGAAGTGATGACTGTCTCTCCAGCTCAGACTGCAGATATGTCAGTGATTCAGGACTCGAGTCCAGAAACTCCAGTATCCGAGGAAGTGACGACCGTCTCTCCAGCTCCAACTGCAGATGTGTCAGTGATTCAGGACTCGAGTCCAGAAACTCCAGTATCCGAGGAAGTGATGACTGTCTCTCCAGCTCCAACTGCAGATGTGTCAGTGATTCAGGACTCGAGTCCAGAAACTCCAGTATCCGAGGAAGTGACGACTGTCTCTCCAGCTCCAACTGCAGATGTGTCAGTGATTCAGGACTCGAGTCCAGAAACTCCAGTATCCGAGGAAGTGACGACTGTCTCTCCAGCTCCAACTGCAGATGTGTCAGTGATTCAGGACTCGAGTCCAGAAACTCCAGTATCCGAGGAAGTGATGACTGTCTCTCCAGCTCCAACTGCAGATGTGTCAGTGATTCAGGACTCGAGTCCAGAAACTCCAGTATCCGAGGAAGTGACGACCGCCTCTCCAGCTCCAACTGCAGATTTGTCAGTGATTCAGGACTCGAGTCCAGAAACTCCAGTATCCGAGGAAGTGACGACCGTCTCTCCAGCTCCAACTGCAGATGTGTCAGTGATTCAGGACTCGAGTCCAGAAACTCCAGTATCCGAGGAAGTGACGACCGTCTCTCCAGCTCCAACTGCAGATATGTCAGTGATTCAGGACTCGAGTCCAGAAACTCCAGTATCCGAGGAAGTGACGACCGTCTCTCCAGCTCCAACTCCAGATGTGTCAGTGATTCAGGACTCGAGTCCAGAAACTCCAGTATCCGAGGAAGTGATGACTGTCTCTCCAGCTCCAACTGCTGATGTGTCAGTGATTCAGGACTCGAGTCCAGAAACTCCAGTATCCGAGGAAGTGACGACTGTCTCTCCAGCTCCAACTGCAGATGTGTCAGTGATTCAGGACTCGAGTCCAGAAACTCCAGTATCCGAGGAAGTGACGACTGTCTCTCCAGCTCCAACTGCAGATGTGTCAGTGATTCAGGACTCGAGTCCAGAAACTCCAGTATCCGAGGAAGTGACGACTGTCTCTCCAGCTCCAACTGCAGATGTGTCAGTGATTCAGGACTCGAGTCCAGAAACTCCAGTATCCGAGGAAGTGATGACTGTCTCTCCAGCTCCAACTGCAGATGTGTCAGTGATTCAGGACTCGAGTCCAGAAACTCCAGTATCCGAGGAAGTGACGACCGTCTCTCCAGCTCCAACTGCAGATGTGTCAGTGATTCAGGACTCGAGTCCAGAAACTCCAGTATCCGAGGAAGTGACGACTGTCTCTCCAGCTCCAACTGCAGATGTGTCAGTGATTCAGGACTCGAGTCCAGAAACTCCAGTATCCGAGGAAGTGACGACCGTCTCTCCAGCTCCAACTGCAGATGTGTCAGTGATTCAGGACTCGAGTCCAGAAACTCCAGTATCCGAGGAAGTGACGACCGTCTCTCCAGCTCCAACTGCAGATGTGTCAGTGATTCAGGACTCGAGTCCAGAAACTCCAGTATCCGAGGAAGTGATGACTGTCTCTCCAGCTCCAACTGCAGATGTGTCAGTGATTCAGGACTCGAGTCCAGAAACTCCAGTATCCGAGGAAGTGATGACTGTCTCTCCAGCTCCAACTGTAGATGTGTCAGTGATTCAGGACTCGAGTCCAGAAACTCCAGTATCCGAGGAAGTGACGACTGTCTCTCCAGCTCCAACTGCAGATGTGTCAGTGATTCAGGACTCGAGTCCAGAAACTCCAGTATCCGAGGAAGTGATGACTGTCTCTCCAGCTCCAACTGCAGATGTGTCAGTGAATCAGGACTCGAGTCCAGAAACTCCAGTATCCGAGGAAGTGACGACTGTCTCTCCAGCTCCAACTGCAGATGTGTCAGTGATTCAGGACTCGAGTCCAGAAACTCCAGTATCCGAGGAAGTGACGACCGTCTCTCCAGCTCCAACTGCAGATGTGTCAGTGATTCAGGACTCGAGTCCAGAAACTCCAGTATCCGAGGAAGTGACGACCGTCTCTTCAGCTCCACCTGCAAATTTATCGGGCATTGACGATTTACTGTTATCAACGCTCGGTTCCACCGTTTCACTTGATAATGATTTTCATTTTGATCGTAGTGCGGTTGGAGGAATTATTAAGTCTTTAAAGAATGAAGTATTAGAAAATAATGATAAAGTTTCTCCGCGTGTGTTTTCAACTGACATTCCAAGGAACAGAAATATTAACATACATATTAGTGGACCTTATATTCATGAGCATAATCGGCTTGAATTTAAATATGGTTTAACAATTGGTTTCATTCTATTATGTATTCTGGTTATTATGTTAGTTCTGTCTTCAATTCTTGTCCTCATTTGGATTCGTCATCGACGTAATAAATATTCTGGTAGTATAACGCTGTCACATATTGAAGAAAACGATAACAATGTACAAAATACCTCATTAGGAAAAAATAGATTTCAATCCAGAAACAGTACACATGATTCATTTACAGCTGTAGAAGGAATAGTTAATGAAAGCAAAAGTAATAAATCTACTAATTCAATGAAAACACCAGCAATACAAAAACGTCTTGAACTACGAAGAAAACAACATATAAAAGCTAAAATATTAGCTCATGAAGCTTTACTTTCCACTGATGATTGTTCTTCATGTGATTGTGGTTTTACTTTTAAATCTCCCAACCCTGAACGTCTCTGTTTAACATCGAATTTAGATAATGATGTTATATTAACTGGTGCATGGCGTAGACAAAGCAATGATAGCGGTGATAGAAAAAACCAAACAAATCAAAATATATTAAATTCTGTTGAACATACTCATGATAAAGAAGATGAATATCTAGATACTCCTTCTATAAATACTAATAATTTTGTTAAAAATAATGAAACCACATCTCATTATCAAGAGATAAGTATGAACAAACCCAGTATAAGTTCAAAAGCATGGAAATATATTGATGAAAATTAGGATTAAATGATTTAATATCTCTATATATTTCTTTATGTTTGCAAAAATAAAACTGTAAGCCCAAAATTACATATTAATTTTATATTACATTACATTGAGTTGAAATTTCATTTTATTTCATCGATAGTATTTTCAATCATCTCTAATAAAATTTCAAACTTTGACGAGTACTACTTATAATAATAATAGTAATATGATAAATACTAAATACGTACATAGATTTAATGAAGTGTTTATTATAAATTTTTCATATCATTAGATAGTACATACATTCCAGATTGAAGTTATATAGTAATAATCACTTAAAATGTTAATTTAAACATATAAACTACATTTCTTTTCCTCTTTATTTATTCCATAAATAAAATAACTAATCATTAATTATTAGAACATTTTCTTCTACTCTAAGCTTTTGTTTATTGTCAAATTTCTTTTTTTTTGTAAGAAAATAGTTTCAAGGAATTATTATCATCGGTTTCTGTAAAAACCAGAAAAATTTCCCTTTTTTATTTTGTGATCAATAACCGATATATTTTTTGATTTTTTCTCTCTGAACTCATATGAAGTAATTGTCGTTCAGTTATTAAGTGTAATTAAAAAAATAAAAAGAAATTTTTTAATGTTCAATTAATTATTAATTAGTTTTATGCTTATTTTGTTTGTTTTTCTGATATTACTTAAACAACAAAAATAAATGTATTATTCAATAAAATTGAGTTTTAAATATTTAATAAATTTGATTAAAACGTCCTGATCATTTTTGTAAGCAATGATGGATAATGGCTAGCAGTGGAATCCAGGACGTGCGTTTCGTCTTAAAACTCAATACAACCAAAACAATATCAAGTGAATTTAAATTCACCCCAAACAAGTGGCTATCAGGACTCAGTAGCTGAGTGGATAACTCGATGGCGTTCGAGTCTCATAGTGAACATCAGCTTTGAGATGTAAGTACATCCAGCTGACAAGTCCCAAATGGGATGAAACGCGCATCTTGGATTCCACTGCTAGCCACTATCCATCATTGCTTCCAAAAAGTTTTTGTGTTATATCTGATCTCAGTTGGTGATGAATACTCTATATCCAATTCCTGACCCTAGCTATCAACTATAAATATTAATTCTAATTCCTCAAACTGGTTTATGACCCTTATTTAACTGTAGTACTTAGGTTGACATTTTCAAGGGATTGTTAGTGTCACTCATAGGTCGTCCATAAATTATAGTCTCATCCAATTACTTTTAATAAATATAATAAATTATTAAACTTAATTGAACTATTTTACAATGACAGATAATCTGCCTAGAAACTAATTTTAATAGACTCTTATTTATAATAATATTGATCATATTTTTAAGGTATAAAAACTATCAATGTTGTAAGAACTTTAAGTATTTTTTGGTAGTTACTAATGTTAATCGTTTAAAGATCCCCATCATATTAAAAGACTAATATTTGGACGACGAATATTCTTTTCGATAGATTCTTTTCAGGTTCTATAATTATATATTCAAATTAATCATCCGAAAAATAATCAGGTTAAAGGAATGTTAAACAAATGTTGAAAATAATTCTGAGTTATTGAAGTATATTTGCTATTCTATAACTAGATTCCAGAGAAGTTACATTTTCTTCAGTTAAGTAAATATAGTACCCTGAAAAGTCCAAATAATTATCGGTCCTAATAACATGCTTGTTGCATACGGATCGGTTTTCTAAGCACAGTAACTCATAGAATATCGCTTGTTTTAAAAGTCATCTTTATTAGACTTAGAAAATAGGATAGAAATTATTACGTGAAAAGCATTGATTTACTTTGACCTAAATAAATGACGCTCTGTGAACAGTTTCATATTTTCGAATGTTACTTCCTGATCACTGCCGAAGCCTATCGTCAATCAAAACTTTTTAGTACATCTATTGGCAGGCTTGGTGTTGTCATGTTTTTGGGATAACGAAACCCAAATGGATCGTTGGCACAAAGTCTTACTTTGAACTGAGATACCCACTTTCGGAATCTCTGTTTCAAAAAACATTTGCACTTATTTTGACTAGCAGAGGAACTTGTGATTCAGGCTACTGACTTGCTAAGCCACGTGACCAAAAAATGTTGTATCAAATGTGACTTGGTTAAGCTTAAAACCAGTAGTGAGCTTATTAAAATCCATTGATCAAACAAATGTCATGTGGTTTATATTTAATCATAAGCTTGTAAGTAAATCGGTGAACTATGGGACTGTAATTGAACTTTCTGTCAGTTGATGAACATATACTATTCATCTTAGTTTTAAGATGTTTCCTTAATAATGCACAATAACTTCATGATTCTAATGGTGAACATGAGTAAAGTGATATTTACTAGAGCATAAAACAGTTGCAGTATCGAAAAATGAAAATTACAAGCCATTATTTAAGATGTGTACATTAAAACGTAAAAATTGGATGAAATAACATGGATTAAGTAGGAAATAATGAGTAAGCTTAATAGTAAATTAAAATATATAAGAAAATATTAATTGCTTCAGATAATTGTAGGTTGTGACAATTTAGAGCAAAAGAAGACATGTACATGAAGAGTACTGGATAATTTTTCAGAGAGAAATGAATGTTAGTTTATTAGGTCTCCAGTCAGCCAAAATTTGAAGTGTTGAATGTATCCTACTAAATGCATAGTTCGTGTATTCCAGTGCTATTCATTTTAGCGTTTACGAAGGCTAAGCAACTTATTGTACGGACAAAAATAATTTCATACCATATTTTTAACAAAACGTTTGTTTTCCATAAAGGCATCTACGCTATTTATCCATCTAATCAAAATTCAAACTAGCTCTTCCATCGCACACGCAACAACAAATGCAGGAGAAAACGACCAGTGTAGCAGTAGCCTCAGCACTAACTTCAGAATTTTGAATACAAGTGTCAAGACAGTTTCACTGTATATGGCGGAAACTTGGAGAACTACGAAAGCTATCATCCAGAACATACAAGTGTTTATTAACAGCTGTCTACTCAAAATAATTCGGATCCGTTGGCCAGACATTATCAACAACGACCTACTATGGGGGAGAACAAACCAGATTGCAGTGGAGGAAGAAATCAGGAAGAAGCGCTGGAGGTGGATAGGACACATTGAGGAAAGCGCCCAACTACATTACAAGGCAAACTGTCACTTGGAATGCTCAAGGCCAAAGGAGGAAAGGAAGACCAGAGAACACATTACGTCGAAAAACAGAGACAGACATGAGAAAAATGAACAACAATTGGATGGAACTAAAAGGAAAGGCCCATGAAAGTGTGAGTTGGAGAATGATGGTCGGTGGCCTATGCTCTATTGGAGGTAACAGGCTTAACTAAGTAAGTAATAACTTCACAAATTGGAACAAATGTTCTTCCCTCACTTATCTTCACTTTCTTATCGAGGTAACTTCCAAACAGTTGCAATAAATACTTAAAGTTTCGTTATGGAGATATAAAAATATTCTCATTTGCCAGAAATCACTTGATAAATCATAATTTAAGTAATAGTATTCTATGGTTATATTTAATTAAAATAATAATGACCGCAATTCTTTCCATTATTACTTCTTAATCCCGTTCAACTAAATGTAGTAAATTAAGATTAAGATCTAGATAGTAAATGTGTAAAAGACAGTAATTTTTTATTACTATTATTCATTTTCTTACTTTATTGGGTAAGGCACAGTTCGTGTAGATAAAAACTATTCAATCATATGCAAATATCTCAAAGATAGGTTTCCGGAAAATATGGTCGAAGGCCGTATTTTATACTCGTCGACATTGACTATGTAACTCATCTACGCTACTGGATGAGAATAACTCTGCATTACACAGTGGATGATATTTAAGATGTGATTCATTTATTTAGCGCATATCATGATACTCGGGGATTTAGGGTCAAACTGATTTTGTGTCCTGTGAGCATACTTCTGAGGTTTTAGAAACTAGTACAGAACATCTGTCCGGCACATGATTATTATATATAACAGTCAGTGGTAGGACCTATCCACAAATTGTGCGAAGTTTCGTTTTTCTGCATCAAACAGACGTCCAAATTACAGTATTTTTTTATTTTATTTAGTTTTGATGACATTCGAATCATGAGTGAGTCACACCAGCTTTGTAGTCAATAAAAATGTTAAAGGTTGATTGCTGCAATTAAAAATTTACCCTACCAATTATTTACTATCACATGCATTTACAAGTCTGAGAAGTATAAGTATTCAGTATCAATGCATTTAAGTAAAAATTTACTTTCTGATTAGACGAATTGTTTGAATTATCAGTTTACAGACATAGATTTCATTTGAGTGTGATTGCATAATCAAAGGTGAATTAAAGTAACCATAATCACCTGATTTCTTCTTCAACCATTTCTGACAAGCGATTAGCTTTTAGTTTCTAGCCATTTTTAGACACGTTTAAATGCTCAGTGATACTACTACATGCCTAAAATATATTATTCAGAGAAATTTAAATTGTATTTTGTTCTATCATGTCTAGTAACACTGACTGCAAAAATTATTAGCTTTACTATTAGGTTACTTCCAACTAATTAAGTAGTATGTTATGTATCTTAAAAATAAAGCAGTCACTTGACAATGAAGATACCAATTCAAAATGGAAGTTAGTCTTTATATGATGCAGTAAATTTTTTAATATTTTATGCTTTAGGGGGTATTTGATCATATTTAAGAGACTGTTAAAGAGAAATCTTTTCTTTGACGAACCATCTTTAATCCTTATTCAGTGACATAGTAGGTCACCTTTATTTGTAACCAAAATTACCTTTAGTTACAAACTGAAGACATCGCTTGTAATGGTATAGTATACAGTTGTTAGCTTTATAGACATAATAAACTGTTTGAATCCGGTCTTTCAACGAAAAATATCCGATCAGTCAGTCAAATTTATTTAACTATGAATTTTAAAAGTTTGAAGAATTCCATATCATAAATTCTCTACCATTAAAATAATAATAATAATAATTATTATTTATAAATCAAGTTTTTAAGGGTCTCTAAATGTTAGGAGTGATTTTTAAATCCCATGGTCTTGTTTTAGACTGACTTATCTTCAAGGACAACCATTAATACAAAACATTATTTTGGGTGTATTATAATCAGAGATGATGGTTGCTTGCAGTGGACTCATGTTTCGTCTTATGTGGGACTCGTCAGCTGGATATACCTGCATCCAATAAGAGACTGATCAATTTCAATCCTAAACATCAATAGGAAGATTCAAAATCTAATACGAAAATAAATTATTGTTCATAAAATACTATTCATATCTTATTAAAATTGTAAGTGTTTAATACACATAGTTTACTAAATAAACAAACAATCGAATATTGAAGATCTAATTTCAGCTAATAAATTGGTGAAAATTTCCTTTGATAAGTGTGAATAAATTAAAGTTGATAGAAAAATTAAACTGAAATGTATTTTTTTTACTTTAAAGCTTCTAGCCAGTTGAAAACAGCTTAAATATTTACAATGAATGGTTGAATTAAAACCATATTTAATGTTTATTATGTTGATTTATTACGTGAGACTATAATTTATGGACGACATTTGAGAGATGCTAAAGTGACTTTGAAAGTGTCCACCTAACAACTAGGACCAAATGAAGATTACAAACCAGTGTGAGGAATTAGAATTATGATTCACAGTTGATGGTTAAGGT